TGCTGGTGGGGGAGCCCTGGGGCCTGCCACTGACAGGGGATGCTGTACTCTTTCCAGCATTGCTTCGTCTGCGGCGAGACCGGGGCCACCATCACCTGCCGAGACACGCGCTGCCACCGCAGCTTCCACCTTCCCTGTGCCATGGAGGGTGGATGCGTCACGCAGTTCCTCTACCAGTACAGGTACCTCCTCTGCCCTCCTCACCACCACCGGGGAAGGCCCCAGCACTTCCCACCTCACCCATCCCTTTCCTCTTGCCCCCAGGTCCTTCTGCTGGGAACACTGCCCAGGGCAGGCAGTGGAGGCGGCTCCGGAGGAGAACACCACCTGCCTCATCTGCCTGGAGCTGGTGGGGGATGCAAAGTCCCACAGCACCCTGGTGTGCCCGGCGTGCAAGCACGCCTGGTTTCACAGGGCCTGCATCCAGGTAGGAGCCGTTCCCTCGCCCTCGGGGCACGGTGGACGCTCAGCAGCACCAGGGCCTCACTCTTGCTCCTTCTGTTTCTCCTGCAGGGACAGGCTGTCCGCGAAGGCCTCTGTTCGTTCCAGTGCCCGCTCTGCAGGGACAGGGACACATTTCTCTCTGAGATGCTCATCATGGGGATCCGAGTCCCCTTCAGGTTCGTGTCCTGCTGCCCGGCTCACAAGACAGGAGGGTGCAAGCGCTGTGCCATGCCAAGGGCTGCCCCAGCACGCCTGGCCCTCTGCTGCCTCGTGAGTCTGAGCTTCAGCTTGACAGAGGAGTTGGAAACAGGGCGGGGGGGAAGAGCAGGGACACCCTGCACCTGCCTTACGCCGGGGCAGCAGGGGCTCATCCATTTTTCTTTCTCCATCAGACTGCCATCACGGGACAGCCAGGCAGATGCAGCACTGAGCGAGCGGCACAGCCACTGTGACGCCAGTGACTGCATCTGTCCAGGAGGCCGGGAGCAGGCAGAGGAAGAGGGGTAAGTTGCCAAAGCTGCACCCCGGGGCTCTGCACGGCATCTCTGTCTCGCCAAGGGCTCAAAGCAGAAGGTCTAAGAACGAGAGCTCTACCTGAAAATCCCATGCTGCGGTCACGTTGTCCTCACAGACATGCACCCGTTTGCTTCCCCAGGCCCTGGGAACTGCTCTTGTGCAGCTCCTGTGCTGCTGAGGGCACCCACGTAGGGTGCTCCGACTTGAGGAGCAGCATAGACAGCTGGGAGTGCGACAGCTGTGCTGGCCTGGGCACCGGTAAGATGCGAAGCCCCCACTGCCCCTGGGCTGGTGGCTGGGGGCCAGGCAAGGCCTGGCAGTGCGTGCCCAGGGTGGGCTTGGTAGAGCCTCTCTGCTCCTGGAGGGCTGGCGGCACGGCTCTGGCCTCTCCTGCCCCGCGCCTGGGAGGCTGTACCCTTGACCTTTCTGCTTCTCCTTCCAGCCTCCAGCCCCAGCACGGAGCTCGCCAGGCCCAGCACTGCCAGTCAGCCAGGGGAAGAGTGCCCCAGCAGCTCTCCAGCACTTCAGGGAGGCCTCTGCCCCAGTGGCCCTGGGCCCATGCGGGAGCGAAACCTCTCCCGCTTTCACCATCGGGCCCCAAATCCCTACACTGGGCCCAGAGGTCGCCGACAGAGAAGCCGCATGCCAGCACCACGTGCTGGGAGCGGCACCTCCAGCCAGGCGGTGCAGGGGCCATCCATCAGCTCGCCGGCACCCGAGGCGAGCAGCCCCAGCACCCCCAGACA